AAACGGGCCGTGCGTTGCAACGAAAGAAAAACAAATCATAATCTCAAATGGCCATGGTCCCATTTTGCTGCATCACCGAGATTCACTATCACTCTCAATTTCGTGAAATCATGAACATTTTTTCTGAAATCGTGAATATTTTTCAATTCATTAATACTTTTACAAATTTTCGAACAATTCTAAAATCAAGAACATTTTATACTATTTGCAAACATTTTTTTCAAAAATCGTGAACATTTTTTTAACAATTTTCTTGAATCGGCCAACATTACGAGAATGGACGAACATTGTTTTGGAAATTTGTGGAACAATTTTTGAAAGTCACGAACATTTTTTTATTTAAGAAACATGTTTTGAAATGCATTATCATTTTTTGAATGAATAAACCATTTTGTAAGTCACAAGCACATTTTGAAATTTTAAGATATTTTTCTATTCATGAACATTTTTAGAATTGGCTAAATTTTATTCAATTTCATTAACATTTTTTAATACACGAACTTTTTAAAATGATGACATTTTTTATTTCATGAAAAATTTGTTTCAAATTTTCATACATTGCTTGAATAAGCAATATTTTTATAAAATCATGAACATTTTTTATTCCATGTAAAAAATTATGATTTATTAAATATTTTAGTTGAAAATTGAAATTTTTTGATTTGGTTTGGAACATTTTAAGTCCCAAATTATATAAAGTAAAAAAACGAAAATGAAAAAAAAGAAATTTAAAAAGCAGGCTGCCCGGACATGGGCCGGCCCAAAAAGGCGCGCTGCATCTTCTCCCAGCGTGCAGAGCGTAGTATAGGAGGTCCCTACTGCATGGGCCGGCCCAGGCAGGGGATTCCCCTGTATGAAACACTTTTTATCACTTATAGGTGGCATTAGTGGGTAGTATTTTATAATTTTTGAGGCAATTTCGTGACGTATCTTTAGAAACAATAGCCCCTTTATTACTACACGATGCCCCGTGCATTGATGCGAAAACCATGATAAACAAATGCGTAATAGGTGCCAAAAACTAAAACTATTGCAGAAAGAAATATAGGATTGCTCTCGGTTTATATTTTAAAAACAATAAATCATATGAAGCATTTGACAAAATAGAAACTATTGGATTGAAGTAAACGGGGTGCTATTTTAGACAAAAATTTGTAACATGATCTACATATTGTTGCTCTATGCGTCCAATGTATATAACAATTATGCCCACACAAAAACTAGTGAAACTATGAGTAGATTAGTGCACAAATTGTAAATTATGACCACATGCATGACTTGCATGATGTGGCATGGTTACATGAAGAGGAAAAATAATACTTATGGCCACATGCATGACTTGATGATGTGGCATGGTTGCATGAGGAGGAAAAATAGGTAGTGGGTTGCAGCTATTTAGGAATAGAAGATTAGGTATATAGATAGATATATATTAGTACAGAGTGAGCAGAATATGTAAATTCTCTTCCATGCAAAGACTTCGAGTTGTAGCCAATTCACCCCGAAGATCACCACCGCCCGCTGCGATGCCAGCTTCACTACCATGTCTGCCATTGCTAAATTGTTGGCTAGATATCCGTCGGTCGATCTGCTTGCAATTCGGGTGGATATCTCACAATACACTTCTGTAAACCTCAATTTCCTTACGCTCTGTTTGGATGCCTGTATTGAAGGGCTTCGTATTGAATTGGTTGGAATACCAATTCAACAAGGAAACTGTATTGGACATGAATACAAATTCACTTGTTTGGTTGTTCTTGTTCATTGAATTGGCTCATGGAATCCCAGTGTGGTTTCAATACCACATATTATTTGGATGGCAAACTCTGGAATTGCATAGTAACATGAGTATAAAGATAATGTTGTGTTCTACATTCATCAAAACAAAATTTATACAATGTATGCCAATAATTGATATATGGCAATAAAAAATTAAAAATATTCTAGAAATGCATCATGACAGCAAATAGTATTTTTACACGATGGCATAGTTAAGTTACATCGTCGAGCCATTGAAAACGACAAGGCAACATAGTTAAGTAACATCATCGAGCCATTGACAACGACAAATACACGGGGTTTACACTCAAAACTACAAATCTAAGAGTTGGATTGGTTTATTGATACTGAACACAACAAAGGTCAAATTTCTCTCCGAGCAGCGGCCATACATGGATCTGCCCAGGAAGCATGTCACTGCATTTGGAAAACAAGTTAAAATCAATAACAGCCAAACAGTACTACTGTGTGCGATGACTTTACAATGCTATATGTGTTATCATTCATACCTGCCATGCCTATACTCAACATGTGAGAAATAATCTCCAGTCTTAGATTTTGTTCTGCATAAAGAAGAACAAGATATTACAGTTGTCCTCAGCTGCTAGTAATATAGAAGCACCATCAAGAAACAGAGTCATTTGCCTGCTATGCTGGCGGGTAAACACGAATATGTGCTACTACTTGCAGTACCCGGCCCCTACCAAGTACCCCCAAAAGTGACACTCCCAAGCTCTCAACTCAAAGCACCAAGCATCTATCTAGTATAATTAACAATATGCTACTCATTTGACTTAATTGATGCAGCATCTATACACTGTCCATTTACATTGTATAGAGGTTGCATCGTTAAATTCGGATCGAAGGGAAAAACTTCGTTCTAGAATATAAGATGCATCAATTTTTATGAAAATCAAACATACGTATGTTTAACCAAAATTACAGAATAAAATTTCAAAGTATACAATACAAAATAAATAAAATATGAAAATACTTTTTATGATGGATCTAACTATACAAATTTGATGTTGTAGATATACTATTTTTGGCGGGGATTTGATGTACAGACATTGTAGATATTGATTTTTTTTCTTAAAACTTGGTCAAACATGCACAACTTTTGACTTTTAAGAAAACTAATAATACACATTGTATTTCGGAATGGAGGAAGCATAGGCTACTGCCTATATACGTTGATTTTTCAGGGATGACATGGTAAAAGTAGGACCCACATTCTTGTGCCAGCTCCTTTTCACCCTTGTAGCTCTGCCACGGCCCCTGCCTGCCTTGCATTTTTTGACTCTGTTTTGCTATCGAGGGACTTTAGTTAAGCAGACACCAAAGTTTGTTAATGAAAAATGAACTTGGAGGGTCTTGAGCTCACCATCAATTTTTGTCTTGATTTGAAATTTGCTCCCATGCATGAGCATGTATACTGTATACCTTGGAACTATAGCTCTTGCCAAGAGGTGCTATATGTAAAATATATACGGTGTGCCACATCAGTGCTCATCTACTTCAACATACTGAGCTCACTAGATTGGCACATCTATCTCAACATAGTAAGCTCACTGCTCTACCTCAACGCACTTAGCTCTCTGAAGCAGTGCATCTACCTCCAGCTATATGCATATAATCTATAACTCTAACAAAAACGTGTGCGATATGACACAATATACTCCAATGTACTGAGTAGTTCGAATCTCTCACGGTTAGCATAACACCCAACTAAATTAAGAAAAGCATCAAATTTAGCAACGACAAGATAAGCATAAGCTCAATTAATATTGCTCAGAACGCAGAGCATCCATTCCTTCTATCGCATGACAACAAAAGGTAAAACTGAGCGGCAGGCCGCAGGTGAAGGGAAAGTGGATCTACGGGCTCATCGATAAAGCTTGGTGGGGATAAGCATCCTAGCTGCCATAAACAGAAGAGGGAAAGAGAAACCCTGATGGGGATGCAAAACTTTAGTAATATTAAAACTTGTCTTAATCTGATAGGAGTATAATCTAGGGAAAATATATGGAACATAAAGATTTATCTCCTAGTCAGGTATCGTCTCAAAACCTAGTTCTTGTCTCCACTACACACTTGTGTCTTAATAAATCTATAGCATAAACCAGGAGAAAGGTCCTCGAATCTGTCTGTGTTGGCCACATGGTTCAACTTTCGGCCCGGCGAGCATTTCTCATCTGAATGGATCAAGGTCAACTCGGCCGGCCAGGAACATGCATATAGAGTATCGATGAGGATTCTTATGGCTCGCATCGCATCCCACCCCGTCGGCGCGCCATAGTAGGAGCGAATGAATAAGTAGGAGGATACGATAACGCGAATATGTGCCACCACGCACTCGAATCACCAAGCGTACGTGCACACATCTAGTATTATATCTTTTTTTAACACATCTAGTAGTATATCTATATAACTAACAATATCTACAAGAGGGTTATATTCCTGTCTCGAGCGTGAAAGAAAGGTCTCAAGAATCACTTCACCTTGTTGTGTTGCCAATGTTAAAGGCCACTGCCACCTAGGCTGCCCATATTGATTTTTTCAGCAGTGACATGGCAAACGGGCCGTAGCAGCAGCCCAATTTCCCCTTTCTGGCTCTGCCCTGCTTCCTGCGTTCTTGACTCTGCTTTGCTCTCGAGGGTTTTGGGTTCCATCGCAGGCAGGCACCAAAGTTTGATGGTGGAAATTGAAATGAATACGCCATGCCATCAGCAGTGTCTTTCAAATGCAGCGTGCCACATCAGCACAAGTACCATACCGAGCTCATTGGACCAGTGTGCATCTACCTCATCAAACTGAGCTCACTGGATTAGGTATCTACATCAACACACTGACCTCTCTGAATCACTCCGGTCATCGATGGAGTATTCTATAGCTCCAGAAAAATGTGTGCAATATGATACTATATATAACGGCCTTAGCACAACAGCTAGCTAAATTAAGCAAATCATCAAATCAAATTAAGCAACACAAGATAAGCATAAGCGCATTTGATATTGCTCAGGATGCTCTTCCTTACAAAGCATCCTTTCCTTCTGTCATATGACAACAAGAGGTACAACTGAAAGATCATGACCGTTAATATGTTTGATGACCTTTCCAAAATTATGTAGCCGCACTGCACGCACTATATGATCCCTAGCGATCACACATAACTGCACGCACGCACAGCCACTGCCCACTGCTGTCCCTGACTCTTCAGTTCAGAGCCAAAGGGCGCCGGCCTGGCGGAGGAGCGGCACCAGCTGGCCACTGAGGTGCAGCGTCATGACCTTGTCGGTGGGGCCGACGAGCCTGCCGCCGATGAAGACCGCAGGCACGGGCGGGCTCCGTCCGACCATGCCGGCGAGCGCCCTCTCGACGTCCTTCCCGCGGGGGTCCTTGTCCAGCTCGTGCACCACCCAGCTCACGCCCAGCTCCGTGAAGAGCGTCTTCACCGCGTGGCACATGCAGCAGTTGCTCACCCCGAAGATCACCACCGCCCGCTGCGACGCGAGCTTCGTCACTCTTTCCGCCATTGGAGATCGAGCGAATTGGTGGCTAGCCTGTATGCTGTTGTTCTTCAGGCTTTGTGATTGATATATTCTGGTCAGCTCACTTCACTTGAGCTTGATGTAGGTTGCTGGTTTCTTGGAGTGGATGATGGTGATGACCCAACGGTGCTTATTTATAGATGACTGCGGCGGGTGAAGAGGGAGTGGTCGGCGTAGTGTTGCAGGCTTGATTGAGGTGCAGGGGAATCACTATGAGAGATGTGGCTAATCGGGAAGAATATATGTTCTCTGTCTAAAGGTTCTATTCTACCACCTTTTGTAATCTTTGCTTTTGAGAATTGGGACAGGCCAAAATCATACAGTTAGCTACGACCACGAGAGTGGCTGATCCTTGATATTTATTTTTAAATAGTGTCTCGAATAAGTAAAGATGAAGAAGAATCAAGATTTGGGACAGGCTGAACTGTTGTTGTTAGTACCATACATAGAAAAATGGCGTGAAGAATCAAGATTCGAGATAGGCTTAACTTTTGTGGTACCAACTGAATCAATGCTTCAGCTGATGATTCAACAGGTTCCTGATAAGCTAGGTTAGATACAGTCTAATTCCTAGTTTTTTGCCATTTGTGCGTGAGAAGTAATACCATCGGCGTGGAGTTTGTGGACATGATGTAATACCATCGGCGTGGAGTTTGTGGACATGATGCATCACATCTAAAACCCCTTTATCTAATGGATACCACAAAATTAAGTAGAAAACACGCCTAACGATCTCCCCGACAACTACAAGTAGGGAACTAGTGATGATGGATGGATTGGACAAAAATGTTTTGGAAAAAATAAATAACTTTTAATGTGAAAGATGGATATCACAACTAACTTTCAACATGCTCACCTTGTTGTATCATTTGAGCCATACCTGTCCAGAACACAAATGAAGCTTCCCTATCACAAGTTGTACTTTCAGTCATTCTGTTCCAATTGCTGCTCCTCATTTTTACTTACCTGTCTTGCGAAGGAATTTTTACACTACTGATCGCCATGATAAAATCTTCATCACCAGCAAGTCTTCATATTGGAAAATATCTTGTAAACACTGCAGTCAAGCTTAGAAGATTCACTGCAGTTCTGGTTGATATCTCACAATACGCTTCTGTGCACTTCAAGTTCATTTAATGAAATGACAGATGTTATTAAGATGACTCTTGCACCACTGCAGATAGAGTTGCACACATTGTTAGACAGTCATGACAAATTCAATGCATGCATAAACACGTTTCAAACTAAAGAGTGGCATTAAACACAGTGAAACAACATACATTAATCAAAGGAGATGCAATCAAACCCATCTAGATAATTTTTCTCTCATCAATTTCCGTTACCTCGTCAGCAACATACCTTCCTATTACAGAAGTCATACCCAGTGATGATATTACAAAGATCAAACACAAGGGGCGTCGTTCCTCTTATCATGCCCTACATCCCGTGCCGGGAAAACAGGCGGATAGATCATCATAAAGGGAGAGATATCGGGTTGACTATTTCGAATTCCTTGACTTGACTGTACTTTTATCCTTTCTAGACCAGGTTTTAGTTAAGCAACCAGCCAACCACTGAAGATTGTAAAATCCAAACAAGAAAATCTTAAGTTCAGCATGTACCTCTTTTCCTTTTATGGAAATTTCATTCACATGTATATACACGACACTGTTCCTATGGTGATTTTGTCATTGTATCAAAGGAGAGATGGCAAGAAAACTTTGTTCAGGATGGGATGATAGGCTATGTCATGAGGGGCAGTGCCTTCAACAAACATGGGTAAAATAAAAGAAACAAACACCACCTCAATCTTATGCATGGATACCAGGACCACATTTCACTTTCAAACTAGTTAGTGTGCGAACTTGATAGTGAAAAACACTTGTTCACTTTGTTACAGAAGCCTCGACGTATCTGTTAAGTTCTCCATCATAGGGATGAAATTACCAAAAAGAACGTAGAATGAAAAACACTTGTTCACTTTGTTACAGAAGCCTCCATGTATCTCTTTTAGACCTTTATATCAATTTTGCTATTTAAACCCACTAAGTTTGTGGTTACTGAACTGCGTTGAAATGTACTTATTTTCTAATCTGCGGCGGAAAATCAGCAACAGAAGTGTACAAAAAAAAAGGATCACGGCAGGCAAAAAAACATTTATTGGACAAACAAGTGATCCACTGCGATGCCAAATGCAGCCTAGGTAGATCCTTAGTACCGAGCTCGTGCAATCCGAGCTCACTGGACCAGTGCATCTACCTAAACATACTAACCTCCCTGAATCAGTCCATCTACCTCCAGTTATGTACTACCATTATATAGCTCCAAAAAAAGGTGTACGATATGACACTATATTCTCCATTTACTAAGGAGCATTATATATACCGTAGATTCTCTCAAAGTTTTAACACAACAACCAGCTAAATTAAGCAAAACATCAAATCAAATTAAGCAACGAAAAGATAAACAAAAATCCTTTAATATTGCTCAGGATGCTCATCTCTTACAAAGCATCCATTCCTGTCATATAACAACAAGAGGTAAAACCACTGTTTTAAATAGCGGCAGTCCTCTAAATCACCAATAGCGGCGCTATCGCGGGGCTATAGCCCACTATTGTCTATTCAAGACGTTGGGTAAAACTGAAAGATAGATGCCGTTAATATGTTCGATGATCTTTCCAAAATCAGTAGCTGCACTGCACACACTATATGAACACTAGCTTAATACCTCAATTTTGAGGCTGAGATAACACGTAACTGCATGTACGCACCAGCCACTGCCGTCCTTAATTTTCAGAAGTCCGACAAAAACGTGTGCGCTATGACACAATATACTCCAATTTACTGAGCAACGTTATATATATACCGTGGATTATTCTCTCTCACGGCTTTAGCACAACAGACAGCCAGATTAAGCAAAGCATCAAATTAGTTTTTTTTAGAACGAAGGCTCAAGGAGAGCCCGGCTTTGAATTAACAAAGCCATCAACCGGCCAGGAGATACAAACACCCACAGTTACAACGAAGCATAGCAAACAAGCAAAAGAAAAGGAAAACAAAAAAAAAAAGACGGCAGATACAAGGTGATGCCCGAAACAACTTCCTAGCCCCAACACGTACAAGCAAACAGGAAATAAGCAGTACAGACTAGCTTGATGTTGCCGAAGCCCTTCAATGCGCGAGTGGAGCACCATAACCCTAACAGAGAGCAAACTTCAGGAGGAGTTACAGCCCAACAAAGATGGACATGCCCTCATCTGCTCCGATAGGTGGACGCCGTCCTCGTACTGACCCTCTCCACTTCCGAAGGGGACCCCTGCCCCTCGCCCCGGATCGAAGGGCGCCGTACCGTTGGCAAGTGGCAATGTTCCCCTGAGCAAGGATTGGTACAAGCTTCCAGGTCACCATGGGAGATTCTCAGCACGACCCACCTGCTGCGCTAAGAACACCAAACGAAGAGCCTCATCAAGACACAATAACCCACACCCAAGGAAGAGAAGCTGTTGTTGAGCGAGGTTGAAGAAGAACTTGCAAGCAGAGGATCCAAGGCAGCCAATGCAGATAGCAGGACAGCACCCGCTGGAATCAGCACCAAGTTCAAGCCTTCCATGCCCTGTTGCTGCCAACGGGGAAAGAACCCTATCTTCATCCCGTCCATGCCATGGCACTGAGAGCCGGCGAGCAAACAGCCACAAGTCAGGCAACGGACAACCAAACAGCAGAGCACTGCCCCAACAAGAAGACCATGGCGCCACCTCCACCTGCAAAGCCGCCACACACTTGACAACCACACCCATCGCCCCTGCACACCCCCAGCTCACCCAAGGTGGCACCTTCAGGAAGATGACGACGCGTCAAACGCCGCTGCCGCCCAGCCTGCGCCCAGCCTGCGCCCAAAGCATCAAATTAGTTAAGCAACGACAACAAGATAACAAGAATAAGCTCTTTTAATATGCTCAGGATGCTTATCTCTTACAGAGCATCCTTTCTACTGTTTTCATGACAAAAAGAGGTACAACTGAAAGATCATGACCGTTAATATGTTTGATGACCTTTCCAAAATTATGTAGCTGCACTGCACGCACCATATGATCTCTAGCGATCACACACAACTGCACGCATGCATCAGCCACTGCTGTCCTTGAGCCTTGACTCTTCAGAGCCAGAGGGCGCCGGCCTGGCGGAGGAGCAGCACGAGCTGGCCGCCAACGTGCAGCATCATGACCTGGTCGGTGGTGCCGACAAGTCTGCCGCCGATGAAGACGGCCGGCGCAGGCGGGTTGCGTCCGACCATGCCAACGAGCACCCTCTCGACGTCCTTCCCGCGGGGGTCCTTGTCCAGCTCGTGCACCGTCCAGCTCACGCCCAGCTCTGTGAAGAGTGTGTTCACCGCGTGGCACATGCAGCAGTTGCTCGCTCCGAAGATCACCACCGCCCGCTGCGACGCCAGATTCGTCACTCTGTCCGCCATCGCTGATCGAGCGAATTGGTGGCAGCTGTAGGCCATTGTTTCTTTGGGCTTTGTGTCCGGTTGATCTGATCAGCTCACTTCACTTGAACTTGGTGTAAGCTGTTGTTTCTTGGAGTTGGATGATAGTGATGACCCAGCGTGCTTATTTATAGATGACCGCGGCGGGTAAAGAGGAGGGAGTGGTCGGCGCAGGATTGCACACTTAATTGAAGTGCAAGGGAATCGCTATGAGATGTGGCTAATCGGGTAGAATATATCTTCTCTGTCTAAAGGTTCTATTCTACCACCTTATCTAATCTTTGCTTTTGGGAATTGGGAGGGGCCAAAATCATACAGTTAGCTATGGACAGTAGAGTTTCTAACCATTGATATTTTTTAATAGTCTCGAGTAAGATAAACAAGAATCAAGATTCGAGACAGGTTGACCTTTTGTTTTTAGTATCACACAGAAAAATGGTGTAGAATCAAGATTCGAGATAGGCTGAACTTTTGTGGTATCGACTGAATCGATGCTTCAGCTGGTGATTCAACAGGTCCCTGATAAGCTAGATTTGGATACACTCTAATCAGCTGCTTTTGCCATTTGTGCATCAGAAGGAATACCAATTGTGTGGAGTCGTGGACACGATGCATCACATCTAAACCCCTTTATCTAATGGATATCACAAAATTAAGTACAGAACTAGCTACAGATCACACCTAACGATCTCCCTTAGAACTACTAGTAGTGAACTAGTGATGATGGATGGATTGGACAATATTTTCTTGGGACAATATAAAAGTTCTAATGTGAAAGATAGATATCACAACAAACATTCAACATGCTCACCTTGTTGTATCGTTTGAGCCATCCCTCCTGAACACAAATGAAGCTTCCTTGCCACAAGTTGCAGTTTCAGTCATTTCTGTTCCAGTTGCTGCTCCTCATTTCTACTTACCCATTTTCTCAAGTATTTTCACACGACTGATCGCCATGATAAAATCTTCATTACCGACAAGTCTTCATATTGGCAATATCTTATAAACACTGCAGTCAAGCTTAGAAGTCATGCCCAGTGAAGATATTACAAAGGTCAAACACAGGGGGTCATTCCTTATCTACAATGCAAAGGCAGAGCTACTTCTATTTCGGCTAAAAAAAAGTCATCATTATTGACAAGTCTTCATATATGCAATATCTTATACACACTGCAGTCAAGCTGAGATGATTCAGTGCAGTTCAGGTGGATATCTCGCAATACACTTATGTAAACTTCACGTTCTTCTAATGAAATGACAAAGGTCATTAAGATCAATCTTAGATGACTACAACACCTAGTGTTCTACGGATGCAAGTATGCGACATGGACTCTACACGTTTGCATTGCTAAGCTCAGTATCTGCTAATCAAGTTGGTAACCAGTACATGCAAGAATCTACTATATTTTGTATATATCTGGCAAATGACAGATAAGAGTTGCACACATTGTTTCGACAGTCATGACAAATTCTATGCATGCAAACATGTTCAAACCAAGGAGAGGAATTAAACACAGTGAAATAGCATACATTAGTCAGAGAAGATCCACTCAAACCCATCCACAGAATTATGATTTCTCATCAATTTCCGTTACCTCAGTAAGCTATGTAATATGGGATAGTGCTTTCAACAAATAGGGGCACAAACTTCCCAAAAAAGACCGCCAACCTTATGCATGGATAAAAGGATTACACAGAGTCAAACTTAGCTAGTGTTCGAACTTGATAGCGAAAACACATTTTCACTTTGTAACAGAAGCCTTGACATATCTCTTAACTCCGTGATAGGGGTGAGATTACCAAAAGAACGCAGAATAAAAAGGTTAATCTTGACCTACCATATCTTTTAGACCATTATATCAACTACTATCTAAACATACTCAGTTTGTGGTTAATGAATTGCGTTGCAATGTACTTATTTTGTAATCAGCGATGGAAAATTAGCAACAAAAGTATTACAAAAAGAGTTAAACAAATAGCACCCAATCGAACTCCGCCTATGTTGTCTCAACATAGCCGGTCCCAAGCCTTGGTAAAGGAGGAGGTTTGTGATAGGCTTGGCGAGGCAACATCAAAAGTCAGCCACTCTTATGGAGATGAAACCCAAAAGATTTTCATTGGGGTGTAACCCTCTCAGTGTCGTGCCACATCGAGACCGGGTGTGGTGTCAAATGGGCAAGCCCCCCCCTCCCGGTGGCGCGACGTATCTTCATCTGGATACGGTGGCAAGTGACCGAGGATCAGGTCGTCGCATCCTTAGTGACGCGCTACATTGACGCCCGGCTGTATTGGAAAATGAGCAAGGATCTTCGCTCGCATCCTTAGTGACGCGCTACATCGACGCCCGACTGTAACCCTCTCAGCGTCGCGCCACATCGAGACCCGGGTGTGGTGTCAAATGGGCAAGCCCCCCCCTCCCGGTGGCGCGACGTATCTTCATCTGGATACGGTGGCAAATGACCGAGGATCAGGTCATTGCATCCTTAGTGACGCGCTACATCGACGCCCGGCTGTATTGGAAAATGAGCAAGGATCTTCGCATTTGATTCGACAAGTGCGAAGGGTATGGAAGCTAGCCGAGACTAGGAGGATCCGCTTAGGTAGCTGTAACGTAGGGTCCCTGATAGGTAAGCTTCGGGAGCTAGTGGATACAACGGTGAGGAGAGGTGTTGATAACCTTTGCGTCCAAGAAACCAAATGGAGGGGGCAGAAGATGAAGGAGGTGGAGGATGAAGAGCTTAGTAGGGCAGATAAACAGTTGGGTGAATCTCCTTCCACAAGTTCCACCCCCTAGGGTTCCCTCCCTCCCTCCCCCGCTGCCACCCGCGAGGCGCCGGGGAGGGCCCCAAATCTCCACCGCCGAACACCCCTCCGCCTCCCCCCTCCTCCCTCGCCACTGCCAAAGGGCACGGCCGGGCGAAGCCCAATCGTCCCCGACGGTAGCGGGGCCTTCTCGTCCCTCGCGGGTGGGGTTGGCGCGGATCCGATCTCGCGGGCGGGGCGCAGCGCTCGGTGTCAGTCATGGCGGCGCCCCGGAGCAGACCGGTGATGGCGGCGTGGCGTCGGGCGGCGGATGGCATGGCGGTGGTGCGGGCTGGTGTGGCGTCGGCGGCGGTGTTCCGGCAGCGCCTCAGCGTCACGTCCCGCGCCACGGGTTGCGGCTGACCGGGTTGCGGGTGGCCTCTTGCCGTGGTCTCTGGTGGGGGGCGGCGCGGCAGTGGAGGTGGTGAGCTGCTCCCTCCCAGTCGGGCCCTCACGGCTGGGTGGCGGCGCTCGGCTCGGGCGAGTCCCCCTGGTGGCGTCTCTGGGCAGCGGCGGCGACAGCTCGTCCACCCTCCCTCTCCGG